AGGAATTGATGATAAATAAGTGAACTTTAAAATTCAGTCTTCCTATATTAGTAGAATTCACTGATATAAGTGCTTTAAATTTAAAGTACATTCAAAAATTAGGAAAACACTAAGAAAAACTGAAAAGGAACTTTATGCTAAGAAAGCTAGAACCAGATAGATGATCTATACAAATTGTGATAGCTTTGTTAGAATTCCATTATGGAGCTCCATTTTTGTATGATTAAACATTTTTTATTGTCACATTATTAGCTTTTTTGTAAACTGAATGCTAAACAGAAACCAAAATATTGAGTCACCTGCTTCTTGCTTATGCTTGATTCTTCCCAACTCAATTGTTTCCTTATTCTAATGTATAGATCATCTTTTTTTTAATTACATTCTTTTATCATTTATTTATTAATTTTTGAATTCAGGTAAATTGACATATAACATTATACTAGTTTCAGGTGTATAACAATTAAATACTTGTATATATTATGAAATGGTCACCATGATGAGTCTAGTTCACATTCATCACCATAAATAATTACAAATTTTTTTCTTCTGATGAGAACTTTTGAGCAGATCATCTTCTTTTACATCAGCAGGTAAAAAAAAAAAAAAGAAATATTTTCTTTTATAAGCTATATGAAGCCAGAGAAAAAAGTGACAAGCCATCTTTCCAGCCTACTGTTTGTTTTCCAGTTAGTTTAAATTACATAATGTGTAGGAATAAAGGGAATGTGTAGAGATGTACATATAAGTCCCAGACATAAAGATCTTACCCTTATTTGATCTAAAAGGAGGTGTAAAGAGTTTGAGCAATTTTATATTTTTAAGGTTTTTACCCTAGTTCATTTTAAGTTGCTTACACCTTTCATTTTTTATTTAAATGCTTATTTAGAGTAACTTTAGAAGACAGCTACTTGTGTTAGAAGACTAACTTTCCTTTTTACTTGAGAAAAGGCTGCAATAATAAATATTAGGTAGCAGATACAATTTACAGGTAGTTTGCTTTCTAAAATTGTTGGGCAGACCAAATCCTGTCTCAAGCAGTTAATCTTAAATTTGTGTAACATCAACAATATCCATGTTTAAGATTAACAGTATTCCATTTCTTATCTGAAAGGCACTGTAGCCAACTCTTTTTAGCTTTTCATACTAATATACCATGTATTTAATTCATCAATGGGAAATAATAACCTGATATGCCCATTATATGATAAATTGAAGATCTGTCATCTCACTATGTAAAGACATCTAAATGTATATGAAGTACAATTTCAGCAAATATTCATCGAGCACACAGAAAACTTCTGTGCTAGTTCTATGCTAGTTCTTTGCAGAATGTGTAGGATGCAAACATATGGCTTATTTCCTGATAAAACTGAAACTTTCTAGCTCTAGCGATCAGACAAGCTTTATTGTCCTTTAAATCAATAGTTCACTTTCCCAATTTTGAGGTTAAAATATTTATTTGACTGGTAATTTACTATAAAACAAAGAGCTATGATTAAGAAAAAATTAAAACTGCCATGGCCAAGTTTTCCATTTTCATTTTTTTAACATTTCTATGAGTTACTGAATGTTCTTGTCATATTCATTCAATATAGATTACTTTTTATTTTGTTGTAGATTCACTTGCAGTTGTATGAAATGATACAGAGATTATGTACCTTTTACCCAGTTTCCCTCAGTAATATCTTGTAAAACTGTACTACAGTGTCACAGCCAGGATATTGACATTGAAACAGTCCTCCAATTTTGTTCAGATTTCTTCTATTTTACTTGTATTTAATTGTATCTGTGTGTGTGTGTGTGTGTGTGTGTGTGTGTGTGTGTGTTTAGTTCACTGCAATTCTATCACAAGAGTAAGTTTGTGTATCCACCACCATAGCCAAGATACAGAGTCATTCCATCACCTAAAGGATGCCTCATGCTGCCCTTTTATTACCATACCCACCTCCCTCCCGTTTGCATTTTTAAACCCTGGCAACCACTAATCTATTCTCCATTTCTATAATTTTGTCATTTCAAGAATATATGTATTTATAGAATCATTCAGTTTTTGAATTGTCTCTTTTACCCAGTATAATTCTCTAGAAATTCATCCAGGTCATTATGTGTATTGACAGTTGTTCCTTTTTATTCCTGAGTAATGTTCCATGGTATGGATGTGCCACAGATTGTTTAACTGTTCACCAGTTGAAGGACATCTGGGCTCTTTCCCATTATGGACTATTACAAATAAAGCTGCCATGACCATCCATCTGTAGGTTTTTGTGTGAACATAAATTTCCAGTTCTCTGGAATAAATGTTCAAGAGTACAATTGCTGGATGGTATGGTAATTGCATGTTTAGTTTTATAAGAAACTGCCAAACTTTTTTTCAGAGTAGCTGTACTATTTTACATTCCTACCAGCAAAGTACGAGTGATCCAGTTTCTCTTCATCCATGCCAGCATTTTTGTCACCACCATTTTTAAGTGTATAGCTCATTATGGTTTTAACCTGTATTTTCCTAATGACTAATAATAGTTCTTGTCTCATTATGAGCTTGTTTGCCACCTGTATACCCTCTTCCATAAAATGTCTGTTTATACCTTTGGCCCACTTTCTAATTGGATTGTTTTTGGTTTTGTTTCTTGTTGATTGTTTTTTACTGTTGACCTTTGGGAGTTGTCCAAAGTCCCATATATCCCAGATACTAGTCCTTTGTTGGATTGCAAATATTTGTAAATTTATTTGCAAGTATTTTCTCCTGTTCTATATATTTCTATTCTCTAATATATATATTTAAATTAATATATACCTGTGTTTTCAACCTATCCTTATCTAATTTGTGTTTTTCTTTCTTCATTTTTCTTTTCTTTATCATCTAACATAAATATACATTCTGCCTATCATTTCCATACATGGCCTAATTATATTTAATAAAACTGTCATTCTCAATTTTTTGCTTTTTTGGTTAAATGACTCTTGAGGGTGGGAGGCTGTAAGCATACTGACAGTATGTTAGAGATTAAGTACATCTGTTCATAAAGAGATGAAAGAGTTTAACTTTGTCACTTTGCTATGCCAAAGTCCAAACAACCAGTTGGAAAATGGAAAATGGAATTATATATATTGCTTGATACCATGAAGTTAATAATTTATTTAAAATATTTAAAAATAATATCCTTATGATTATTTTATCAGATTTGTAAGTTCACCTAATTAGTATGCTTACTATGGTGTACTAATAAGTGTGATTGCATTTTAGTTTATTTCAATTTAAAGAATTCTTCTTCATAGAATTTTAAGTAATGTCAAAATCTTCTGTTGTGTCAACAGCTGCTCTCCAAATGAGTGTTTTATCATAAGTGTTGCCTTTTATTATTTCATTGAAAACAACCCAATGGTTTCCATGATTAAGGGAATGTTTTGTTTAATTTTAACTTTTCTTTCTGTGTTTTAAAGTTTTCTTTCAGCTTTTGTTTTGTGTTATATGTTTTGTTTATATGGAAGACTATATTTTGCTTTATTTTTAATTTTTCATTTTTAGCAAGCATGGGAATATATTTTTGCTTACACTCTGGGAAAGAGAAGACCCTAAATGTGGCTTAATCAACATTGTAAATCATTTCATTTCTTTCCCATTGAGTTGGATATGTGCCTTGATGGAAACGTGTGCTTTAGTGGCATATATTTTTGAGTCTAACTAGCTGCCTGCCTGTAATGAGGACTATATCAACTGTTGTCATTCTAAATGTTTCCTTTCCTTTTTTTCAAACACATTTGCCTGATTGACCTTTTTTTTTTCTCTGTCTTTCTATGGGGCTGCTCCAGGAGCCATGGCTAATCATCTTATAAGCAATGCTCTGCTTCGTCCGCATGGTACTAACAATCCCTATAACACATTGCTTGGGGAACCGGCGGTCTGTAACAACCCTTCTGTCAGCATGTACAACGCACAAGGTGTGCTGGAGTTTATTTTAATTTTTCCAAGTGAGAGTCCCAGTTTATGTAGCTTTTATGGCCACATTCTATTTTTCTTTCTTTCTTCCTGCCTTTTCTTTCTTTTGGAAGCAGATGCACAGACTCTTTTTGCCTTCCACCCCTCTTGGTGCTTTTATTTTCCATTTTCCTTAGGTTTTCCTTAGTAAGAAATGGATTCCTCCCTTCTGATAAACAAATGCTTGATTCCTCAGTATGTGTTTGTTTCTCTGTAATGTTGTAAAATTTATTGTGGTTTGTCAGTACTTTTCTTGTTGTTGATTGATTTCTATATTAAATACCTATGTATTCATTTTAAGAAATGAGATATTTGCCTAAAGTAAGTAAGATAAAGGAAGACTTGGTTCAGCAATCTTAAGATCAAGAAAGTAATCTTACTCTGTTATACCATGAGTCACACTCTAGGCACAAACATCACTACTGATGAAAGCACTTAGATCAACTCCATGGAAAACACTGAAATAAGCTGTGGTGGAAAGAACAGTGATTGAACAGTAGCAGATCAGGTTCTACCATAGCTAGATATTGCCTCTATGAACTGGCTCAGGAAGGTCATGAAATGCTTCTTCTACTGTGGCTGCATGTTAAAAACAAAGGTTTTGAATATGGTTCCTCTGTATATCCTCCAACTTTAAATGATTTAAAATTTTAATTGTATCTCAAACACATAAGCATAAATCTCTTTAAAACCACTTACAATCTAAGCATTTTTATGTGACTTTTTACCTTTTCTAAGCTAAAAAATGTATTGGGGCACAAGAAATTTAAAATATTCATATCATAAATAAAGTGACCACAGGAAAAATTTATTCAAGTAAAAGTGTCATAAAAGAAAAATTTTAGTCAGTGATACACCTATTTAAAATTATATTTGAAAGAAAATTCACAATAACAAAGAGACTTTGGTGGTTCCTTCAAGTTGGATGAGACAGATTAGCAATATTTAAAAATTTTCCCAGGCAATCTTGAATAAAATTTCTCTTATCCTCTTTGGGAATCTTTGTGTGTGTGTGTGTGTGCGTGTGTGCGTGTGTGTGTGTGTGTGTTCTCAGTCAGAGGTAAAAGATTAGTGCCATGAGTGCGAAAAACTTGGTGTGCATGCTTATTCCAGAAAAGCATGTTTGTTGCAACATGGTCATTGGGTGTCTAAAACCATCTGAGTTTCCCAGGTGACACCTTGTCAGATACAAAGGATAATTTTAAATTATTTCAAAAATACCAAAGCCAGTAAGTTAGAAGAGACTTCAGGAATAGTCAAGTTGTTTTTCAACAGGATTAAATAATTAGGCAAACTGTCAGTTTTATCCAGTTTCTTAAAGGCCTACACCTAAGAATCATAGACTTAGAATCAAAATAAGAAATAGAACTCATTGAATCCTCTTTACCACATTGTGGACGTTCTGTCAACCTGTGCTTAAGTATTTCCTCTAATGAGGCCCTTCCTACCTCGGGATTTTATATATTCAATTGTTGAAATGCTCCATTCGTTATAAATATTTTTTCTTTCCACCAAGTCGAAATTTGCCTCTGGCTGTGATGCTTAGGTTTGCCTTCTAGAACAAAGATGAGCAGAGCATTTTTCTGCTGTCTGTGGCAATCCTTTAAATATTTGAAGACAGTTAATCTGGCTTCTTTTAGTCCTCCATTTTCTAGTAAAGCAACCTCAGTGCTATCAGGAGGAGAAAGTTTCTTCATGGTTGTCCCCCTTTACATTGTCTACCATTTGTCAATGTCCCTATTTCATTGTAGCACCCAATGATGTGTATATTACATAATGCACTAAATGTGGTTTGTCAGAACAATTTTGCAGAACTTATAGAGTCTTGTTTGGGTTTTTCCCTTTATTTTCATTGGGCTAAATGACATAAACGTGTCATTAGAGTATTTTAAATTGTTCTGACATATTGATAAGTTTTGAATGATGTTAAATGAAGATTTACACCATATTTGCATATTAAATCTATTCTACATTATTCACCTTATGCAAAGAGTTGTTGGAAATTGTTTTAAAATAAGTAATAGTTTAGATCATATTTTGTTTAGCTTTTTTGATTATTCAGATATAATTTCTAATGTCTTAAATAATAAAAAACTAACAATCATTAATCTGTATGTTTTCCTTAATTCAGTATCTGCCTTCTTGTCTTATCTTACTCCTGGTATCCTAAATTAGGAGATTTTTCTAAGGATGGAACACTATTATAAACACGATCAAAGTGAAATTCTCATGACAAAATTTAAAATAATACCATATAAATCCAAAGTTTTATTCCTATCGAGCCTATTACTGAATATTGCTATTAAGATTATCAAAAAATACACAAAGGATTCTTTGGAATGGATTTGATGTTTATGCCAGTAAATTAAATTCTACTGACTTTTCTTAAAAACAAAAGTAAATAATTTTATTATTGGTTTTCAGAGTCAGAAATGGGATTGTTCAACTACTTTATGTTTTAATATTTTTGAGATGTTAAGAAACTATGGTAGTGCTTAAAATAATTTTTTACCACTGAAAAAAAACTTGGTGATTGTCATATTGCTACTAATCTTATGCTTTCAGATGAATGCACTTATATTCTTACTGGCAAGGTGAAATCTTACATGAAATATAGGTGGCTCGGTATGTACTGGAGTGGTTTATGTTGAATTACCACTTGGTTCTGTTCTGTTGGTCCTTTAATTCTGTTGTACCAATGCCATCCAAGCAAAGAAGCATTCAGATTTAAAGTATCCATTTTTGTTTGTGATGCCTTTATTTAAAATATGTAAAGATATGTTACAGTATTACTAATGCATATAGAGTTAGGAATAAAGATGAGTAATATAATTTTTTTATATTAGATTCAGATTCTATCTGTGGAAATATTTAAAACTTCATGCATAGTATTTCTGGACCATTATCTTCTTGTCAGTATTGGAGAATTTAGTTTTTGTTAGATAAACCTCATTATAGGTTAACCTGTCAACAAAATGTAATATAGAGAAGTCATGCTTTTACAAGTTAATTTACATTTTAAAGTAATTTAATTCAATTCTAACACTTTAAAGAAAAACATATCTTTAGGATAGGATATAGTGAAGAATACATTATAGTTGTCAAGAATACAAGGTTATAGTATAAAGTATATAAATAAATATTCTGTTATAGCTTTCAAAGCCTAAGGCAGATGTGAAAAGAAGGAAGTAGATAGTAGTGCACAGAGTCAATCTAGAAGATTCCCATTATGATCCCAGTTCTGCCACTGTTAGCAGAAGTGGCGTTAGATAAGGCTGTCTCTTTTGGTTGAAGCTTCCTCATCTTAAAAAGCAGGAGCTGAACTTCAGTTATCTCTTATGTGCTTTCCAGTTCTAAAATGTTATCATTTACGGAAGGAGCCATAATGAGCCTTCTAGCAATTTCCATCTGTTGCTATACTAGTTTGGCTTTTTAGTTCCAATTCTTTTTCTAAATGTGTTTTGAAACTTTAAAAGAAATTTTCTCTGCATTTTGAAATATTGTTGGTCTTTTGCTGAGAAGCAAATCGACTTTTAAAATACAAAAACAGTATCTCTAGAGCAACGGCTAAATTTTAACAAGTTGGAATCTCTTGAAATGATATAGCCCAATGACTTCGCTGGTTTTTATTTTGTGATGATTTAACCTTCTTAGAAACAAAATCAGCAAGAGCAGGTTTTTTGACAGGATTAAAATATGAGGTTTTTCTTTTTTTAATAATTTTGCTACTATTGTTTTTAAAGGATTAATTTTTAAAATGTTAGATTGCATATGACTGTGCAACAATCCAGAAGAAAACCTGATATTGATTGGTGGTATTTTTCCCCCCTCACATTTTCTTGATACAGAATAATGGTTGCATTTAGCCTTTTTCTTTCTCCATAGTTATACAACTTTTGAATATGAGCTCCAGAAATGACAGTATCGATCAGTGTAATTTACAAATGATAAAAAGCACTTGTATAGGTACAGTGGGAGAAAAATAACCTTTGTACATGAAAAGAGAAGATACATAACAGAAAACACAATTATGAAAAGTTCAAACTGGGGTATTTTTCTCTGTATATAAATGAAATAATTTATTTATAATCTTATTGAAAAATTTTAAAGTTAAATGACATTCCTTAGAAGCAAGTATGTCCTAACCTATACACACACACATATACATAATACTGAATTATAGTTGTGGAAATAGTCATAGCTTGCCCTCAAGATTTTACTCTCTTTGGTTGGTGTGATAATTTTAACTTTAAAATAAGTGTGTATTTGTTTGAAATTTACAAACTGCAGAAAAGCTTATTAAAAACTCATTAGCATGTATTATGGGGGTTTCTTATTTTCTGACTAACATTTCAGTATTTTTAATTATGATAAGCCATGTAACACAGACTCATGAATTTTGGGGCAGTGGAACTATTTCCTTTGACTCTTTTTTCTGCATATCATCAATTTGCTTTTTACTCATGTTTCTTCTACTGTCGCTGTAAGCTTACTTGTTGTTTTTTCTTTCCTTTTCTTCATGCTGTCGTTTAGAGCCCTACAGAGAGACAAGTATGGGAGTAAAGCTAAACATTGCATATCAAATGTAATTTTTTTTAGTTCACTTTTATTGCATCACATATAGATGATGTAGTTATTAAAAACAGTTCATCTCACAATTTAAAAACTAAAGAACCTATGAATCAACTTATATAAATATATGTTAATAGAGATTAGACGCTTTTGTTGTCTGATTCTTTTATTGTGTCACATAACATAGTTGTTAAGTCTCATGTAATGTTTGTGTGAGTTAAATTGTTTTTAAATTAAGCATTTATTTTTGCTAAGTAATTCATAAACTTTTAATTTTCATTACTACATTCCATCATACAAATACATGTCACATGCAACAAACCCAGTTTATTTAACTATGGCTGTTTTCAAGCCATACCCAATGCATTGACAACAGAAATAATAAACACATGTTTCAATGCATCAGTTGCTCAACCATAACCATCAAGCCTACCATAGCAGCCTCTGCAGCAGCAATCACCCATCACATATGGCCCTTTAAAAAGCATTTACTTTTATTTTTTCTTAACATTGTGGATTTGTCTACAAGATATCTTATAACATGAAAATAAATCGCTTCACCCTATGTCTGTGATGGCTGCCTTTTTAATGTATTTAATGCATTGCTATTTTTGAAAACTGTGTTACTTGAATACAGAGTATACATCAGAAGTCCATATAAAAATTGTTATATTTGGGATACTTTATTTAAACAAGTAATGAACTAGTTCAGTTTTGGTAAACATAACTGCATCACAGATATAGAATGAATGCTATATTTTCACAAGTTAGTGACGTTTTGACAAGTTTAATAGAATTCTTCAATTAATTGTTCTATAAAGAAATACCCTTTATTATTTAGCAGTATTCGTTAAATGTTTGTGTTTTATTTTCTTTTGTGTTTGCATTTGGAGAGATTTATGGAACTATTATAGATCCTTGGATTTCTGTTCATTCAAGAAAATGCAAAAACCTTGAAGAAGCATGTGGTCAAATTTATTTCACTGCAGCTGTTTCTTCCCAGGATAAGACATTTAATCTCTTTTAAACCCAAAGTTTAATATGCACACAAAGTCATCACTCGTTATGAAATGGAACCTTTAATACTGACACTGTGTTTTTAGGAATCAGATCCCCCATGTCTTTACACATACTTTTGTAGAATTATCTAATGACCCTAAACAATTACTAATGGATTAATATATAATAGTAACCAAAGTACTTATAGCAGAAAAAAAATTGGAAAGTAAATCCAAATATTTTTGTTTTGAAAGTTCCTATGTGCAAATTATTTTGAAGTGCCATTTATTTGACTAGGCATTATTTCATGACTATATCATTCTGACAAATTTAACATAATCCTTTTGTGGTTTTGTGTGTAGGGATTATTTTCAATCTTATAAATTACATATCAGATTATTAGAGCCTGCTCGAATCTTTTACTTTGACCAGTATATTCAAAGTACCACACATGAATTATGTTAATTTTATACCTATTTCAATGTTAAGACAGCACATAAAATTAAAGGTAATAAATTATTGGATTGACTTTGGTGTGTATAAATTGAAAGCTATGAATGACTAGAGCAAAATGTTGCGTTTTTCTCCCTAAGTTATAACCAAATATGTTTCAAATACTGTCAAACAATGTTTGTGTGGAAATTGCAAATTTATAGGTTTTTTTTAAATTCTTTTAAAGATTTACTTTAAATACTTCTTTTCTGTTTATAAGATTTCTATCAATGTCCAAGTATCATATATATATATAGATATGTACATACAGATTTAATATTTTTTTAATTTCCAAACATTTTATACTCACTTAAAATTGCTAGCAATTTATACATACTTCATAGTCGGGTGTTTTCGCTTTTGTGTTTGTGTGTATGTTCTATGGCCAATTGGATATAAATGTCTTAATGTTTTGTAATCTTTTTCAGAGGGGCTTCTGAACAATGCCAGGGATACAAGTGTCATGGATACTCTACCACTGAATGGTAACCATGGCAATAGTTACAGCATTGCCAGTGGCGAATACTTGAGCAACTGTGTGCAAATCATAGACCGTGGCTATAACCATAACGAGACCGCCCTAGAGAAAAAGATTCTGAAGGAACTCACTTCCAACTATATCCCGTCTTACCTGAATAACCATGAGCGCTCCAGCGAACAGAACAGGAATCTGATGAACAAGCTGGTGAATAACCTGGGCAGTGGGAGTGAAGATGATGCCATTGTCCTGGATGATGCCACCTCCTTTAACCATGAGGAGAGTCTGGGCCTAGAACTTATTCATGAGGAATCTGATGCTCCTTTGCTGCCCCCAAGAGTTTACTCCACAGAGAACCACCAGCCACATCATTACACCAGAAGGCGGATCCCCCAAGACCACAGTGAGAGCTTTTTCCCTTTGCTAACCAACGAGCACACAGAAGATCTCCAGTCACCCCATAGGGACTCTCTCTACACCAGCATGCCGGCACTGGCTGGTGTGCCCGCCGCAGAGAGCGTTACCACCAGCACCCAGACCGAACCCCCACTGGCCAAATGTGGTGATGCCGAAGATGTTTACTACAAAAGCATGCCAAACCTAGGCTCCAGAAACCACATCCATCAGCTGCATACCTACTACCAGCTAGGTCGCGGTAGCAGTGATGGATTTATAGTTCCTCCAAACAAAGATGGGACCCCTCCAGAGGGGAGTTCAAAAGGACCTGCTCATTTGGTCACTAGCCTATAGAAGATGACAGAAATTTAAGCCAACAAAACTGCTAACACCTGGTTGACTGTTCTGAGTTGATATAAGCAGTGGTAATAATGTGTGTACTCCTAAATATGCTGTTCTTAAACGACAAACACAAACTCTCAGACTTCTTTTTTTTTTTTTTTTTTTTAAACTGGGATTTTTTTAGGTCAGCCCAGGGGAGAAAGATCATTGCTGAAATTCCCCTGTGCCAGCTTCTTTCCTGTCCTTCCCCCCTCAGATGGAGACTTCATTATGTTAATGAACGAGATTTGAAGAAGATGGCGCTCATTGTGGCCTTGTTGAATTATGTTGTGTTTGTTCTAACATCTCTGATGCTCTGTTACTATAATTACAAGGACCTGATTTTTTAAAAGGCCAGAACACTTGTTTGAAAATTAGTAACAATGCTGCATCTAGATTGGAGTGCTGCACAAACATAAAATCAAAGCAAACTATCACATAGTGGTTTTTAGTCGCTCACAATCTGAATTCACCACAGCAGGA